GATTTAAATTACTATGAACAATAAGCAAGCTCGCAGAAGATGCACGAAAATTGTTTTTGCCAGATGTACCAAGAAAATATTGTAAAAGATATGAGAATATGCTCCGTTAAAAGATATGAGAATATGCTCCGTATGTAAGAAATACGTACACCAGGATAAAAATGATAAAGATATTTTTATTTTTCCTTATTGTGAAAATTAACAATTTGTTTGTCAATAAACTTTTTTCAGTGCTTATTTTTGTTTTTTTTTTCGATTTTGTACTCAATTTGGCGTACAGACACACTTTAATTAAACCGGGTACTGTTCGGCTCTATAGTTTTGAAAATGTCTGAAATTTGAAAATTATGTACAAAAATGTAACCTCTTTCAACTCCCACCATTACTCTTCCATTTCAAGTTCTTACAAAAATTTAAAAAAATCTCAAAGCTTAGGTAGGCAATATAGGGTACAGTTACCTTAGATAACTGTTATTATTACACTGTCGTTATGCATGTGCTTTACAACGCATTCATATTTTTCCATTATGGTTGGTAGAATAGATCAATCAATGCACTGGATGTAATAACCAAAACTAAATATGATATATTAATGAATGTCTAAAAAATTATCTCCAGAAAACTCTAAAACAATAACATATACTGCGTCATTTGCTTATCGACGAAGTAACCGTCGCTAGAATGATGGAAACGGTTAAATATCTTGAAAACCAATTGTACCAATCAACTGAAATTATGTATAGGGGTATAGGAAGTTGTGCTCTGTCTGCCGTCTGTCCGGATTTTTTTAAACAGATAATCTCCGAAACTACAGGACTGATTGCTGCCAAATTTTGTATGTATATTAGGTATATATTATCGTATATTATTCGCAAAAAAAAATGTTTTTGCTTCATTTGTTTTCGAGATGCAAGGCTAACTTGATTTTTATTTAAATGGTACTACCATATAATTAATGCATTTTTGAGTAGAAATATAGAATAGAATATAAAATATATTTAAAGCAGATAAGCAACGGGAGAACATATTTTCTACCTATTATAACATCTTAACATCAAGTGTTTATCCTCATATGGCGAAAGAATGTCACGTTAACAAAGTACAGTTTCGGCCACAAAATCTTGGGCAGTTCTGTCATTCCAGTGACATAAGCTCTAAAACAGGCTTTACGTACCTATAACCTCAAATTTGCCATGTTTGTTACTTTGACGTAGACTGGAATGTGGATGATGACGTATGTCAAAATTTATTTTTTTAATCATTATGACAATAAAGCATAGATAACATCGTGTTTTTTTCTAATGACAGAAAAATACTGCCCAAGATTTTCTGACCGAAACTGTACTACAATTATTAATGAAATCATAATCGAAGGTTCTGAATATTTCAGTATAATGTTTATTTCATCACTATTAATAAAAGACGTGCATATTCTCACATTTTCGAAAAAATGGTGTTACTCTTTGTTAATTTGATCAATAAAAAAAAGTTTGGTATCGAACGTGTGACGGCAGGTCGGCTTTGTCATAAATTACCAACAGCTTTGTAGTAAATTATTATTGTATTTTGTAAGTGTTTTTGCGAAAATTTGGACGGTTAGGGAAAAAACTCAAAATGGATTCGTACACCACAACTATAGGAGTATATTGTTTTATAACATTTAAATCGTTTTAAAATAGTTGGTGGGGATAATTAGCCAAATTATGGTTGGCGTTTACCATCTACATCATATCCTAACATACATACAAAATTTGACATCAAACAGTGCAGTAGTTTTGGAGATTATGTGTCTAATAAAAAATGATTCAAACGACAGTCAAACAGACAGAGATCGCTTTTTTCGTACTCTAGTGGTCATGAAATGTCGAGAAAATTTGAGCAATTCGTCCGATGGATTCGATTACTATATACTCCCTTAGCTTACGCTCGGTAAATAAAAAATTAACAAATCAGCAAAATGTTTAGGAGGGCACATGAACTTGTGTCTCTCTGCACTATAGCCCATATCACGAACCGTTTCTGCTGTCGAGTAGCGGCCGAACAGTGCCGGCGTATAGTTTCTAATTAACATCCTTAGTACGTAGGAGAATTGTCACTAAAAGTGTGCTACTACAAACTGTAGGTGATGAGCAGAGAGCGGACTACCGGGGTAACCCGCAAATGTTCTATAAATCTATAGGCTCCAACCATAAATGAAGTACGGTGCGATTGCAGTTTAAGTAACCAAACCTTAGTTAACGCTATGTACAAATGAGTTTATAATGCTATGCTATAATGGCTGAGTTTTATATCTAATGTGTTGTATGGACGTTGTTGAATGTACGTGAATTTGGGGGAAAACCCTCTTTTGTACCGTACAGTTAGTCACTCGAAAGTTAATTGCTTCAACGGGCGGTTTCAGTGCACCATTGCACTGGCAGTTTGCCGGGTTATTAGTTGCTGGAATTCGTTCTCTGGTCATGAATCATAACCAGAGCGCGGCAAAAATATCCCTCGGGCAATCGTCCAAGTAAATAAATCGCAATATTCAATCGTGATGTCGATCAGTAACTACTGAAGTGGTGAAGCATATGTTTGAAACGCAGAATTTCCAGTGACTCTGTTTAAAGTTACAAAAGTAATAATTGCGAAAAATCGAGTCTTGTGAACACAAAAATGGGCTGAATATCACTTTGCAAAGAAAGCAACTATATACTGAAACCTGGATCGAAGCTACGCTGTCAAATGCCGAGCATAACTTACTGCTTTGCAACACGCCGAGCCGTCACTGAAGAGGAATACTTTCCACCGTGCTCGGTATTGTCGATCCGGGCCAGATTTTCAATGCGACGAAACAATGGGTCCAACAACGACAACTTTGCCCATTGTAGCCGTGATATTTGAAAGGAGTGCAAGTGAGATGTAAAAGCCAAAGTGGATGCGAAATACCCATATGTATGGCCCGAATACCCAACTAATGTTAAATAATATGTGACAAGGAAAGAAACGAACTTGTAAACGACTGAAAACGAACGATATAAGATGCGAAACCGAATGTAGGGCGTGTTGCCAGATTTAACAAAAACAAATTTCACGATCAAATTAATGCATGTTATGAGCACCCAAGGAGTCTATGCTTCGCGAATCTGTCGCTGATCCGTCTCCAAAAACTAAAAAATGTATGTGTAATTCAGTAATTGTGTACGCTTGTGTTGGGACACCGACTGGTAGCGAAACTCCCACGATGGTTTGTGAACCTACCTTGGCTCAATGATTAAAGGTTGTCTTCTTATGATGAGTTCAAGGATTCCTTTACGAAGCGATGAAGATGGCGATAATAAACAAACACCAAAAATGATCAATAGGTGTGGAAACGCACACTGATAGCCCCAAATATTAATTCTGTCGAATACCGGTAGCCACTACTACTCTCGCATCTATATTTTAGTGATTCCTAGGGTGTGACTCGAACCAGTATACAGATGTGAACAGTTTGTACCAAAAAGTTGAACAGTAAAACTACAGAAGCACAAGCAACACCTCTTGAAACATGCTTTTAACATTTTTTTTTTATATAAAATTTATGATAACCTCATCAACGTTCTAGAGGCGATAAATAAAGAAATTTTAACCGATGTTCTATAATCACATAAATCGAGTTGGTGTAAAAGTTCATTTTACAAATTTTATTTTAACCTGTATGGGTTAGCTTAAAAACATGAACTCACTATTGAACCATTGCAAGCGATATGATTTACCTTGCGCAAGATTTTGTCAAATTTATACTGGGAACGAATCGACAAATATTGACATCAAAAATATCCCAATAATCAGTTGGTAATTTGGGAGTTTATGTGTTTTTAGTAAAATAGCCAAAGGACAAAGGATAGGCAAACGAAACCAGATGACACCTGTGAAACTTCATTAAAGTAATGCGCTTTTATGGTTTAGCAGTAGAAATGACGTAATCATTCATAGTTACAATAAAACAAAAATTGATCTAAAAAATTTAGACAGAACTTCTCTTAGCCTATAATACCCCGTGTATATATGTAGTTATTTGACCAAGATTGTCAAATACAGAACGAAACAATTTGTAGTTTTTCACAGTGATGTGTTGCAATTGTTTCGAAAATTATTTGTCTGCTAATCCCCAACAAAGACATGACAGACATATAAAAGTGACAAACCTTCTTTTTATCCAATAAATATTGCGAGAGCAATTAAAAGCACAATCAGAAACAGCCATAGATTTTTGAAGATTTGCTTTTGATAGAATTTTTATCTTGTCAGATTACCGTCAAATTGAAAGTTTGAGTTGAAAGTGTAACGATCAAAGACAAACTTTTAAAAATCCACGACTGTCTTTGAGCGTATTTTTTATTGCTCTCTCCGTAGCAGCTCTAACACGTCGAAAAACTATGAAATGAACCATGTAAACGAAAAATCTTGTCTTCTATAGCTGCTTTCAAAATAAGAGTAAAACTACCTAGAAAACTGACTTGACTTTTAGGGTTTTCCAACCCTAAGCAGTAGGTGTGGGTCATTAGAAATGATTGGCAGCTTGTACCGGGTATAATGAATTAAGCTTATGACCCTAAACCGCTTGAGATTATAATATCCTTAAGTCAAGTAGAGTCGTTGCAGGGGGTTTTGTTCTCTTATTTTGAAAGCAGCTATACTTCAACATCTTTTAATTTAACATCTTTCTTTCTATTTTTCATTAAAACAAACTGACTACAAGCTTTAAATTTTAACAAAATATTTTGTAATTCCTATCATTTTTGAAAATATAAGTATAAGCATTTATTTTTCAAAAACTTCGCAGTATCATTATTGTATATGCCTACTTACCGAATGTGTAATAGTTTTAAATTATCTTGATTTAATATAGTGTGATTACTTTGTCTTACTTTAAATTTAAAGAAATCGTTTAATGTAATATTCCTAAATTTATTTTTTGAAGTTGCTGGATTGATCTACGACATTCCACCAATTCTAAATCCCACTTTTTCCCACAGAATTTAAAGAACCAAATCATGACCACCAACGTTTGGGTCGAACAGGTATGAAACGATTTAGTCGTATCCAATTTCAGGTGTAAATCCGCAGCTGTGCATTTCAGGAATGGAACGATTATAAGCTAAAGTGGAATCCGGACGATTACAACGGCGTTGAAACTCTCCATGTTCCATCTGAACACATTTGGCTTCCAGACATTGTACTTTATAACAAGTGAGTTATTCGTAATTTAAAACCTTAAGGGCGGCATATTTAGAAATTAAGGCAATTTACCGTGATGGATGCCTACTTTCTCTCTAAATAGGGAGTTACGTGGGATCCGTGGCGGTCTCTGCAATTCCCGAACAATGGAATAGCACCGCAGTGCGGCATCTTATTAAAAAATACACAGAAATGTTTCTTTATGTAATTTTGGGCTTGCTGTTTACGAGTAAAGATATGAAAGAATGCACAAAAATAGAATATGGTTCACGGAATATAATTTTACTGTTATGTTTCATTAAAAAGATTGGGGAATTTAATTTATGGTGCATTTTCTAAAAACAATGACTCGTTTTAACAAAGATTTCATCACCTTAAAATGCACATTTTTATAGTATAGTATATAATAAATTTTTTTACAATAGCGTGTTATGAAAACATTAATACTGGCTCGGTATAACTTTAACGCCGTCTTTCTCACAAACTCTGTCAATCTATTGCTTTTTCTCTTTTTTCTTTGCTGCTATAAAACTTCATTGATGTAAGAGGACAAGTTTGACGAACGTTGTTTTTTCAGAAAAGAAACCAATTTCAAGCGACTTTTAGGATTTCGAATAAGATGCAAAATTCTGATATAAATATTATTTTCGATTACACATCACGTCTACTTAAACCTTTAATCAGATATAAAATAAACAGAATATTTTAGTGATAACAGTTTTTAAGTGACTACCTCGCAAACTCTAAAATTGCCAATTTTTTACCAAAATTTTTAGCATTTTTGGCGTCGTTACGCACTGATTTCGGTAAAACGTAAAGTGCAACTGAATGCAAACAATTTATTTTAAAAATGTTTATTTAGAATAAACTATAATTTTTCAACTCATTGTTATAAATGTTGATAAATATACAAATTTTAATATGTACAATAAAATAAAAAATGTAATCAACTGCTCATTTCAGGGAAATTAGATAATATTTTTATGAGATAATCAATAAAATAAATCTGTAAATTATTTATTGTTGCTGTGTAAGAATCCTGAAAAATAAAAGAAACGTTTCGAAGCACGAATTCGTTCGACAATTTTTTAAACGAAGTCGTTAACCTTTTGCTGAGGGCAAATATATTACTTTGACAATACAGTTTAGCATTGATTATAATGTTGTTGCGTTCTCATCATTTTTTAAAAAAGGAGAAAAAATATATAAAAAGTAACACCATTTTGTATTCATCTCGGATATATTTTAATTTTAATTGTAATTTTATCATTATATTCTTTCAAGTGTTAAGTTTCATGTTAGTAGTTTGTTGAACATATACATAACCTGATGATGACGTTAAATAAAGTCGAAACATGTCGTAAAGTAACTACAACTATTTAATCTCCTAATCATTTATTACGTTCAAGAGGCAGACAAATATCCAAAATTAAATATAACTTGAACAGAATGGATCTCCAAAGATTAACTAGAAACTTATATTTTTGCATTTTAAGAGTCTTAAAGACCCAGCAAATATGATAATCGTCGAGTCCCTATTTGTTCAACAATTTTGTAATGCATTTACAAATACTTAAAACAAAGGTTTTTTTAAGTTTCTGCAAACATCTAATATTCAAAAGTTGTTTTGTCTGCTTTTGTCTTTCCTGAAATACTGATACATTAATGTATTGAGATTCATTTTTGTTCAGTTATATTTAATATAAAGTATGTGGGTTTTGGAATAGTTTTATATTCTTAAGGCCTTACCAAGTTGTTATAGATGTTTGTGTATAAGTATGTTTGTTGTGGATGTTGTTTTTGATGTTATGTTGTGTGCGTGGTTTTGTCGGTGCCAACTTAGAAATTTTAATCTTGGTGCGACGTTCGTTGTAATTGATTTGTCTATTTAGGTTATCACGTGTATGTATATATTTTGCGGTTGTGGAAGGGTTTTACATCGTTTAGAACGAGGTCTGGGGAATTTTTATTAAGTTCTGAAATGTATATTTGTTCTAGAAAGTCAGTGATACGGTTTTTGAATGTGGGGTGTAGAATTGGTCCTGTATCGAAGTTATGTCTGGTTGAAAGGATGTGATTTGCGAAAGTTGACGTTGTGCCTGGTGTGTGTCTGTTCTTAATAGGGTTAAGGTGTTCTTTTGTTGTAGTAGTGAAAGGTTCGACCTATGTATATTTTGCCACAGTGGCTTTTGAGTTGGTAGATCCACTGCATTCTTTTTTGTTTGTTTTATCTATTTTCTGGCGTAAATATGTTTGTAGAGTTTTTTTGGTAGTTAGTGTGATTTTGGTGTTGTGTTCTGAAATAATTGTAAATAATTGTTTGTATTTTGGATGTGACGTTTTCTGTATCTGAGAAACTGCAAAATATTATGTTGTGGTTGTCGGTGTGTGCTAGGTTTGTATGTTTAAGGGTTGTGTATTTATATTTTTTATTTAGGTATAGGTTATTTATGATGTCATATGGGAACCCATTAGTCGTTGTAATTTCGAAAATGGTATCGAGTTCTTGATTGAATGATATATTATGGAGAGGAATGGAGAGTAGTCTGTGGAAAAGAGAATGAATAGTGACTATTTTGTGATTAAATAGCTGGTATGAGTTATATGGGATGACGAGATTTGTATTAGGGGGTTTTCTGTAGATAGCGAAGTCGAGTTTTCTGTGGGTATTGATAGTGAGTCGAGGATTGAAATAAAATTATAATTTTGTTGTTCGACTGTGAATTCGATATTCGAGTATAAGGTGTTAACGAAAGTTAGGAAGTTGTTTAAGATGTCGTCTACATATCTTCTCCACATTTGGATGTGTTTTCTATACAGGTCTGAGTTCATTAGAATATTTTTTTCTATGTAAATCGATGAAACAAACAAAAAGAATGCAGTGGAATCTACCAACTCAATTGCCACGTGTCAAAAAATAAACAGGATGTCTCAAAAATAAGTACATTAATTTTAACCAGTAACAGAACTCATGAAACGGAACAACTTTTTTATCTAGCATTTTTTCAAAAACTCAAGTCGAATTTTGAATTTTCCCACCCATATATTCACGAGCCATCTATGTTCACCTTAAATAATAACTTAAATAATAACAACACTACAACAATGAAGAAGGTACCCTAGCAACCGTTTTGACACTGACAATCATTTTTATGTCAATGTTTTTATTAAACGTTGTCTCTTTAAAGTTTGTTTGGCACAGATTTCTAATTTATAGACGAAATGTGTTGAAATGGCTTTGTTTTCAAGTTTGGACTGCACCGATATCGTTTTAACGTACGGTGAAGCTCGGGGAAACGGCACTCGCGCCCAACGATTTTTTTCAGAAAACCTCCCAAATCGTCGTCTGCCAAATGTGCGCAATTTTATGAACGTTGCAGCATTTTCGAGAGTACGGATTTTTTAAACCTGCACCTCAGGATAGGGGTAAGTTACGTAGTAAGAGAATTGCTAATATTGAAGAGGCTGTTTTGAAGAGTGTCGAAGCTCCACCGGGCACTAGCACGTACCACTGTCTAGTGTGATGTATCGGAGAGTAGTATTTGGAGGATACTCAGAGAACAAATGTACCCCTTTCAGGACCAGAAAGTTCAGTTATTCAAACTAACAGACTTACCACGTAGGCAAAACTTTTGTGAGTGGGTTAATAGAAAAATAAACGAACAAGCAAATTTTGTATCTCTTATACGATCAACTGATGAGGTCGGTTACACGAGGGAAGGTGTTCAACACCCACATTTGGGCCGATGAAATTCCGTACACCATTAGGGAGCAGGATTTTCAATTTCTCTCTAAATGTTTGTCACATTGACAAGATTAGGAAAATACGTATCCTAGTAACCGTTTTTGACCATAAATTATTAATAATTGTAATAATTATTAGTGTCCATGGGTGACTAAGGATCAATGGGCGGGTAACCTTAATTGGGATAAAACTTTAACAATTTTTAACTTGATAATTAAAAAGTTCTTGACAAAACTCTACTAAAAAAAGTTATTGAGTTCAATGAGCTCTATAACTGATTAAAATTAATGTACTTATTTCTGAGACACCCTGTATAATTAAGTAAAACCTTTAGGTCCATCAATACTAGAAGAAAAGAACACCTTAACCCTATTAAAAAGAAACACACACCAGACACAACGTCAACTTTCGCAAATCACGACCTTACAACCGATACAGGACCCCTAATTCTAGACCCATCATCCAAAAATCATGTCAGATACATCCTAGAACAAATATACATTTCAGAATGTGACAAAAATTCCCCAAACCTAGTCCTAGATGATATAAAATCCTTCCTCAACCTCAAAATATACACACACGTCACAACCTCAATAGACAAATCAATTACAACGAACGCTCGTACCAAGATTCAAACTTCTAAGTAGGCACCGACAAATCCACGCACACAACATAACCTCAAAAACAACATCCACAACAAACATATAAACACAAAACATCTATAACATATAAACTTGATTGATAAGCCCTAAATTATATAAAATATTCCACAACCAACATACTTCTTGTAGTCCTGATGATGTTACTCATCAATTGAAGTACCGAAACATATGTAGCCACATACAGATTAATATACAAGTTTAAAAGACTTAACCATATTTGTTATATTACTGATACATTGTTTCGCTGAAACTGCCAACGTAGTATTTCCAGTTCTCCTGTAAATAGTTTATAAAAAATTAATTCTATTTCAAATACGTTCATTCATAGCCGTAAAAACAAATTTGCGATGAAAGTTTTTTAAGCGTCTAATTTTATCACATTCGCTTCGTTCATTATGGTAGGGTCCATTAATTACTCGTGCATCACGCAACTCTCGAATATTCTTATTATTTACTTAAAATTAGAGACGAAACTGACCAAAGTATTATCCTATTGTATAACTATACCTAACATATAAAAAGTTTTTTCTACTACTATCACCTTTGTAGAAAAATACCATTAATCGAGTAGCATGTACATTACTGATATAGTTGTATATAGTAATAGTTATAAATTAATTATGTAATTTACGTTGATCTTTCAAAATGTAAAAAAAAAGTTTCTGGATGCTTTTAAAATATGTCCTTTCTAATTAAAAAAAAAAGGATCATGATCATCATCATCTTATTCTAATTCCAAAACAGACTACTCCGTAATTTTTAAAATGAAAGACTGTAATCCTGTGTTGCTCTAGCTTTTAAAGTGTAAAATCTGCACAGTAACTATTTAACAGTTTAAATTGCAGACAATAAGAAACCTACTAAAAAAAAAATTTTACATCATTTTATATTATTCCAGTTAACAAACAGTGATTACTACATGGCTTCTTTACTAGCAAACAGTTCGGTAAATTAAAATAATGATTGTAGGATATAAAAATATTGGTTTGGTTTCTTACCAGGTTCATTCGTTCCGTGTTGGCGATAATTAAACAGAACGGAAATGCTCTCAAACTCTCAACAGTTTTTGATAAAGTTTCTAGTGTAAATGGAACTGTGTAAAAACATATACATACATATTGCGTATTACACCCGAATACTATCATCGAAGGGTACGAAGATTTTTAATGAGTGACTATACCACTGAAACAGATTTTCTACACAATTTTATTTGTTAAGTATAAAAAATTTGCTAATAAAGAATAACAAAATCTCGTATCAATAAACATCGTTGTGTTAAGCAAAATGCCAAAAAGTTCTGCTATGTTGAAATTATCATTTGTACAGACATCAAGGGGAACAGCAAAGTAAGTAGCAAGTACTTACTTGAAACGAGGATTATTCAATCATTCTCGTCATCTGAGAGAATAAGTTATTTACATCCACTCACCAACAGTGACAACTTTTAAAGACTTTGTAAAGATTATCGGACCCTAAATACTATAGTTTCATAAGCTGGGACAAAATTTGAAAATAAAGAGGCTTTTAATATCGTTAAACCTGGTCAAAGTTTACTGCCAAATTCCGATAAATCCTCATCATGCGAAAACAGAGATTTTATGTCGTTCAAATTGTTCGAGTGCAAGAGGATTACAGAAAACATTTTAAAGATTTCGTGTTCAAATACTTGAATACTTCAACATTTACTTGATTACTACTTCAAGAAGGTTTCTGAAAATCGACTGCTCTTCCACAAAACTAAACCTCAAAGACATATGGTGCCTACTACATGGAATTATTTGCAATATATCGACGCATGATATACTTCTAACACCGTTTAGCAGACCATTCTTTCACCATTTAGACAGCCATTACAGTTTGTTGACTTTTGCTTTTCATGGAAAACTTATGCATAACACCTCATAGCAAGCACATCAACTTCTTTTCATCTTTCAGTTTCCCAATCACATTCGTTAGGTATGTCCCTGACAAATGAATCACTATAAAACAACACTATCGTTATTTATCATTTTATTCATTTTCAAGTTTTTGACTAATTTGTTTTATATGTTGTTTTATGAGTGTTTTTTGAATTTTACTGTCTGGTCTATTGTTTTATAGATTTGTGCATTGACAATCTGCCACAACATAGATTTATCATATACTTAACATGTTGACTTCGGTATAAATGGATTGGTTTTTTACACTGTTGTGACAGTACACAATACGGTTTTTTTTAATCAGTTTGCTATTTAAAGTCCATATGAATTCATGTTTCCATAACATATTGGTTCTGAACATATTCCATTTTAAAAATTGCAAACTGTATCAAATTGAAAGTTTTACACTCTACGTAGATGCGATACAATAGACTACTTTGAAATTTTGATGAGTAGAGTTCAGATCACCGATGAACCAATTTTATTTATGTTCATGAGGTCGGTCATTTCAAATTTCAAAAAATGATGAAATAAATCTTTTGTTAAAAATGCACCCTAACGTACGCACTTGTGGGATCTGTCTGTCTTAAATTAGAGCCTAGGGAGTGCATTGTACAGGTTACATACTTTTACACAAATCTAGTTGATATTACTTAATTTTACTAATAAATTTATTACTTCTGGTCCATTTTCCTCATTTATGTTACAGCAAAGTATATTCACAAAGAAGATGAATTAATTCTTAACCAGATTTCTACATCGCAATTACCACTTTATCCAACATACAGAATGAGCACCTCCTTCGCAATATCTGACGCAATTTAAATAATTCAGAGCCAAGCCACGCGCAGCCAACTTTGTGAAACAACTTGAATATTGCCGATAATAGACGCGTCTTTGTTAGGTATTCCTCACACATCGGTTTCCGCTACCAATCATATACAAAGATCAAAGCGATTTAATAAAACTATTATGAAGTAATTAGCGTACTAGACGAAAATTCAAAGTGATTATAAAGTTTTCCTTAACACAAATTGCTTTTCCAGTGCCGATGGCAACTACGAGGTAACAATAATGACCAAAGCCATCCTTCACCACACGGGTAAAGTAGTATGGAAACCCCCAGCAATCTATAAGTCTTTTTGCGAAATCGACGTTGAATATTTCCCTTTCGATGAACAAACCTGTTTCATGAAATTCGGATCGTGGACTTATGACGGATACATGGTAAGTAATCGTAGATTAATCTTAGCCACGTGTTACACATGTTTATCCGGCAGGTTGATTTACGCCATCTGTCGCAAGTACAAGACTCCAACAAGATCGATGTAGGCATAGATCTTCAAGATTATTACATATCAGTGGAATGGGACATAATGAAAGTGCCAGCCGTGAGAAACGAAAAATTTTATAGCTGCTGCGAAGAACCCTACCCGGACATCATCTTCAACATCACGCTAAGAAGAAAGACCCTTTTCTACACAGTCAATTTAATCATTCCTTGCGTAGGCATATCGTTTCTTTCCATCCTTGTCTTCTACCTTCCTTCCGATTCTGGTGAGAAGGTCTCACTCTGTATTTCCATTCTCCTTTCCTTGACTGTATTCTTTCTACTGCTGGTGGAGATCATTCCTCCAACTTCCATAACAGTGCCTCTGTTAGGTAAATATTTGCTCTTCACAATGTTGTTGTGCACTCTCTCCGTCGTCATCACCATCGCTGTCTTGAACGTCAACTTTCGATCGCCCGTCACTCATAAATTAGCTCCTTGGGTTCGTCTCTTCTTTATCGACATTCTACCAAAATTCCTCTTCATCGAGCGACCGAAAAAAGACGACGACGACGATAACAAATGTCAAGACAGTATGCTTACCGACGTCATCCAAGTCCCAATGATGGAAAAATGCAAACCTTTCGAAAAAACATCTTTTGACAGTTTCGATCTGGGTCTTCCACCTCCCTCTAGATTTGACGTAGCAGCTTCTGGAGGTATGGGTCCTTGTTTTGGTGAACCTCCTTTTCCTTCCATGCCCCTCTCAGGTGGCGACGAAGACTTGTACAGCCCAGCTAGTTGTCGGACCAACACTTTTGATGGTACTAGCGACGCAAGTCCCTCTTTTGATAAAATGGACATACACGACATGGAGAAGACAATAGCTGACTCGAGGTTTATTGCCCAGCATGTCAGAAACAAGGATTCTTTTGAAAACGTAATGTTTGTCAAAAGTTAGAGATTCAGTCATCAGAATTTTTCTTTAAGGTTGAAGAAGATTGGAAATACGTCGCAATGGTCCTAGACAGACTTTTTCTTTGGATTTTCACTCTAGCTTGCGTCGTTGGAACAGGACTTATAATTTTCAATGCACCATCGCTCTATGACACCACAAAACCCATTGATGTGCTCATCTCAAAAGTGGCTAAGAAGAAAATGGCTCTTCTGAAAATGGTTCCGGAAGAGTTGTAATTGTAGTCCCTCCAAAAAAGGGATTTGTTGACATTAAGACTTCAGTTGAGATAACGATGATAATCATTAACATAGTAATTGTTATAATATGTTACATGGTACTTGGGTGTGAGCCGTATGATGTTGCTGTAGCTAGTTTTTTTATTGATAAAACAGAAAACGGCTCATTTCTCTGTATTTGATAAATCAATAATATTATAATGTTGAAGCTGTTTCATTTATAAGATATTGTAGTTTGCTCATAATATTATTGAATAAATCCTTTTCGATATTATTATATCATTATTATTTTATATAATGTTTATAAATGCACCATGCTCATTGTACTGTACATAACATAATAAACTCAGTGTAGATATGAAAAAAAAATGATTCTTATTATCAAAATAAAGTAGTTTTATGTGTATTTAATAAAACTAAAAATTAGATGCGTAGACACAGTTGTTTTTAAAAAATTTGTGAACCCTGTATCAACCCAAACTTTGAATGTAAATGCATATTTAAATCGATTTTATAAATGAACTGCATTCACTTCAATTTAAAAAAAATGTTGGCATTCTCGTATACGATATTTGTTGTTCACAATTTTATTTTAAGGTACAGCCGAAAATTTAAATAATACACAACAACATACAAATTTACGATTTACGCGGACTAAACAAAACACGTAAAAATGCAGGGTGTTTGCGCATACATCAAATTCACGTTTTGATGACAACGGTTTTTTCATGCATACACAAAATACAATGATGCTGGTTTCTTAGATATACTGGCCGCCAAAATTTGATGCGTTTATGACTTTGGAGTTTTAGATATTTTTCAGCAGATCCTTCATAAACTCGACAGATACAAACCTTGACACGTGCCACTGTCAAAGAGATACGCAAAGGGCGGTATATACTGGAAAAATTGTGTTTTTAACAATTCAATTTTAAATTAGTTTAGAAACATAGCTATTGTTCAATTAGTAACAACCTTACCTGGATATACCTGGATTTCTTCTTCAATTATTAACAAATACCTGTATGAATACCTGGGTTCCCTTTTACCCCGAAATGTGTCGCTAGTGAAGACAAAATTATTTCTGGAAATGTTTCCAGGTAGAATCGTCACGAATTAACTAAGATATGTATCCCAGTTAATTCGTTACGATTCTACCTGGATATTTTCAAATGCAAAGTGGGGAGGTAAAAGGGTGAATATTGAAAGACAAATATTTAAAGTTCAGATTATATGCAAAAGCATATTTCTTAAAATCCAGCATATTCAGAAAAAATATGTTTTCTGACCATATAACTTCTTTTTTTAAACAATGGCCTTTAAAAAATGCATATTTTAAAATCTTACTGCATATTTATCGATTATTGCATATTTATGCATATTTTTGTAAAATTTTTAAATTGTACCTTTATTCAGCAAATACCAAGACATTTCGGTAGAATCGTTCCCTGAAAAAACCAATATCTAATTAAGGCATCCTAATCTAAACTGGGGACATTCCGTTTAGGACATATGAAAATTGCACTGGTAACCTAAGGATTAACGCAGGTAGCATGTAAATTGCACTGATACAAGTGTAGACAGACTTAATCCTACAGGTAAATTGCACTGGTCACCCAGTGAGATAAGGCCCACTATTTTAATTTCAATAATGACAAAACCCCTCTTTTTTTTCAATACCCCCCCCCCCCTTTATCCAACTCTTGTTTTGGAGCATCTAATAGGTATTTAATCAGTAAGTAATAAACTGCCTTTGAATAACAATGACTTACTTAAGTCAAATTCTTAGCGAACACAGCAAAGTCCTCTTAATATATGAAAATTTTAAATTTTATTTCGACACAACATTTTGGGAAATGGCTTGGTCACACATTTGGAATGTCATCTTTAAGAACGAAAGAAGTTAGCGATGCCTTTGTGTAAGATTTGATGGCATATAAAGTAAACTCATTTGACATACACCTGTTAAAACTTTTATGACTTAAGCGGCTTAAGCTAAACCATCCTTATAAGTCAAACTGGCTATTGTATTACTTAACTCAGTTCACAGTACATTATGCCAACAATGGACAGTAATATTCTTGCGGTTCGGGTCCACAAAGCTTACAATAGCCAGTTTGACTTATAAGGGTGCTTTGGCTTAAGCCGCTTAAGTCATAAAAGTTTTAACAGGTGTATGTCAAATGAAGTTTTTGTAAACCAAAAGATAACAGTAGAGTTGAAAAGTATTGTGACTACCTTGTCGAAACTTACATTAAAGTAGACGCACTTTTTGAACATAATCTTTGGGCAGAGCCATCCGCGGAAATGAATCGTACATCGTAATGCGTGTGAATCTTTTCACAATCAACTTAATGGTTTTTTCTATTCATCACATCCTTCTATATATGTTTTCGTGGACGCCATCCAAAAACTTCAGTGTGATGTGTATGTTAAAATGCAGAGTGTAGGATCAATTCGCCAATTTCAAAATAAAAAACGACCATACGGCAAAATTTGTTAAAACACTTAGTGGCATTGTATTATACAGATAAGACAAGAGATAGGTTAAGATACATATATTCAATCGATTTCACATTATAACGCACCGTCACTATAATTGTCTTTGTACATAATATTTGTAAAATAAACATGTTTTTTTCTTAAATTCCATTTCTTTATAAGGTAGCGGTCAACTTCGCAAGATGTCCACTTAATGATCGGCTGAGTACCCAGTGCAATACCTTCCCCCGGATTAAACTCAAGCCATCAGTGCAGTTTACACATCCCCTCCATTTATTGGCATATTGAATAGGGCGCATCCGGCTTAAAATTATCTTAATTCTCCCTTATTTAACTCTACAGGTAGCATCCTGACAAGTGAACTTCGAACCCAAAATGCCAAAAGTTGCTGCAAGTGTCCACGGCTGGATAAAAAAGTATCCAGATCTAGTGTTAGATGAACATTCTCAATTTGTTTTTACAGAGTGTGCTGTAAAAAGATAAGTAATGTAGATATCAAAATTTTTATCATTGCTATATTTTTTAACTTGTCACTTTTATTTTTATTAGTTCCAATTTCAAACAATTGCTTTAATTTATTGTAATTTTATTGCTTGCAATTAAACGCGAGAACTGAAGCATGCACAATATGAATTAATTTTATTGTTCAAGTCGCCCCTGAAAAGAAGTTTTCGACAACTCAGCATACTGGAACAAGCCTTCACAAAAATAAGCTAAAGAATTCAACTAATGTGAAGTCACAAAGTCTGCTAGCAGAATTTTTCTCCAACACCCAAAAGATGATAGATCAACAAGAATATTGTTTCGAATTGTGCCGATATTCCTTTAGCAAAACTGAATAACCCCAAACTACGATCATTTCTTAAAAAGCCTACCATTAAGTCAGTTCCTGATGAAAATACTTAAAAAAAAACTACGTGGACAAAGTGTTTCAAAAAACTACGCAGGCTTCATCAGATTATGGGCAATAATCTAATTTAGTTTCATGTTGACAAAACAAACGATTCATGTGGACGTTAGTCTGCAAATTTGTTGATTGGAACTTTTACCAGTGAAAAATGTGGCACTTCATATTTGATTAGCACAAAAGCTTGGAATAGACAAATAATAATACCATTACAAGGTTTATTCATAAAGGTTTAACGAACTTTTTTCTTCCGGAACCTGTTCCAATTGAAAAACTTATATTAATGTCATCAGCTTTTCCCCACTAAGTGGGGAACATGGTTAAATGCAGTTGTATTTTATACCAAAAACTATAATCTTTGCCATTTCTATTGAAACACCACTTGTTGCTCGAAAATTTGGCAACGTTCATATTCAGAGAATTTTCTAACCAAAAGCTGTTGCCAATCAACTGAAAGCTGTTACCAATTGCTAAATTTTAAGCAAAATCAACAGGTAGTGTTTCAATAGAAATGGCAAAGACAATACAATGCAATTAAGAATTTTGTTAATGAGCTGTCAGATAATGCTACTTCTATTAAAAAATCTAAAATAATTTTTGCTAAAACAAAACTGCCATCTGCATTTATTTCATCTAATTTTTCCATATTTGCTGATACAATTTCAGAACTTGAATGTAACAAGTTAGCATTGGTAGGTTCTATTCAGATAGTAACAAATTGCTTTCAAAAACTATCCAATGTTCAAGGTAAAATAGGTGAAAAAGTTTTTCAGTAATTTAAGTCTGTTTTAGAAAAAAAAAGTAGGTTTTAATACCTTGTCGCCTATCCGCAACTGATTCAAGTGAGTTCGACAATCAACAATCAACAAGACAATCTCTTGTCACGCCATTGAATTCATTGCCACATAACCTTAAACAAATCTGTCATAAGGTTGACAAACTTCACGGCAAAAAACGGGAGTACCAACTCTCTCAATCAATTTTGATGGCTCTGTACATCTCCTCATATGTGAACAATGATTGCCCTATAATTCAAATGTTATTTAATGTACTTAACGCCCACTTCCCAAATTTCGCCAACGTGTGGCGAGTAAGGCGAGATAAAATGCCAACTAATTTATTATTATTCCTAAATTTACGAAAGGCATCAGATAACATCAAAATGAATGAACGAACGATTGGGTCCCTTAAAATTTAATGCTTTTTCATAATAAATAGGTATTTGATAGTTTTCGTCTTGGAGACATAAATCTCTTGAAGCACAGTATATCTTGAAGGCTCCTCCAGTAAAAGGATAAATAAAAATAAGTACAATAGGTGTTAAGCGACAACAGAGGTGAATCTTTTGTCATATAGAATATTCATAAAAGGATTTAACTTTATCATAGAGCTGAATTTCGGTAATGCATTCCTTTTATAATTCTCAGGAATTCTCATATTTTAACAATAACATATACTGTGCAGTAACGTTACGACTGCTTTCAATTTACTTTGAAATTAAAAAGGCTACATTTTTAACAGTGATTTACCTTTATTGCTTACAACTGCTTTTGAACAGACGGCCTGGCGTCGTTCTTCAACTTCGAAACATCATTGGAATATTGTGTTATCTTCCTGGTCTGATACTGGTCCATTGAACCACAATTTGTAATCAATCTATTATTTCGGACTGCATCCACAAGAAGTAGGTAATATCCGCAGAGTTTAACGATGACGACACGTAGTTCCAATTTTCTAATCAACAGATTGAATTTTTGAAACTCGATTGTCAGCAAACTAGCTTAAAACGATAGTTTATGTGTGTAGCAAAATTCACCGCTAATATTACATCTTAAATGGGTCTTAACAACGTGTTACTACACGGC